GGGGGGGGGGGGGAGTGGAAAAATGAAAAAAGAAATTAAGCATGGAGTGTTACTTGAATGCCTCTGGTTATGTGTGTAGTAATCTTTAATGAAAATCTCTTTTGGGAGAAAGACAAAATAATCTAGCTTTGTAATGCTGAGTCAGTTGATCAGAATTTGGTATTCTGGTCTCACAAACTGAATCCAAGTGAGTTAAAGTAAAATTGTGGCCAGACTAATAGATATTCAAATATTTTTATATTCTTAACAAACTGAATTTAACTTCAAAACAGACCTTCACTGACCTGTGTTGCTGCCATCACTGTGGAGTAACCCATTCTCAAAGTTTGTAGCCAAAGCTTCTTAGTTTTACTTTCACTTTCTATTGGTGCAAAGCTCCCCATTTCCCCCTTGCTGGCAGTGAGTTGGTCGCCAATGTAAAGGAGCACTACACTGATCCCCAATGTATGGGAGCAATACGCTGACTATCAATGTAATGGAGCACTGCACTGTCTGGCAGTGAGTTGACCACCACTGTAAAGGAACACTAGAGCACTGTCAGCACTACAGCACTAAGAGGAGACAGAGAAAACAGAACAGATGCACAGGAAGAAGAGAGAGAGAGAAAATAGATAGGTGCACAGAGATAAGGAAGAGGGAAAACAGGACAGGTGCACAGGAACAAGGGAGAGAGGAAACACGGCAGGTGAACACGAACAAAGTAAAGGGAAAACAGGGCAGGTGCACAGGAACAAGGGAGAGATGAAATACGGCAGGTGCACAGGAACAAAGGAAAGGGGAAACAGGGCAGGTGCATAGCAACAAGGGAGAGCGGAAACAGGGCAGGTGCATAGCAACAAGGGAAATGAGAAACAGGGCAGGTGCACAGGAACAAGGCAGAGGGGAAACAGGGCAGGTGCACAGGAACAAGGCAGAGGGGAAACAGGGCAGGTGCACAGGAACAAGGGAGAGGGGACACAGGGCAGGTGCACAGGAACAAGGGAGAGGGGAAACAGGACAGGTGCACAGGAACAAGGGAGAGGGGAAAGAGGGCAGGTGCACAGGAACAAGGCAGAGGGGAAACAGGGCAGGTGCACAGGAACAAGGGAGAGGGGAAACAGGGCAGGTGCACAGGAACAAGGCAGAGGGGAAACAGGGCAGGTGCACAGGAACAAGGGAGAGGGGAAACAGGGCAGGTGCACAGGAACAAGGGAGAGGGGAAACAGGGCAGGTGCACAGGAACAAGGGAGAGGGGAAACAGGGCAGGTGCACAGGAACAAGGGAGAGGGGAAACAGGGCAGGTGCACAGGAACAAGGGAGAGGGGAAACAGGGCAGGTGCACAGGAACAAGGCAGAGGGGAAACAGGGCAGGTGCACAGGAACAAGGCAGAGGGGAAACAGGGCAGGTGCACAGGAACAAGGGAGAGGGGACACAGGGCAGGTGCACAGGAACAAGGCAGAGGGGAAACAGGGCAGGTGCACAGGAACAAGGGAGAGGGGACACAGGGCAGGAGCACAGGAACAAGGGAGAGGGGAAACAGGACAGGTCCACAAGAAGAAGGGAGAGTAAAAACTGGGGCGGGTGCACAAGATCAAGCTAGAGGTAAGACAGGGCAGGTGCACAGGATCAAGGGAAAGGGAAGACAGGGCACGTGCACAGGATCAAGGGAAAGGGAAGACCGGGCAGGTGCACAGGATCAAGGGAAAGGGAAGACAGGGCACGTGCACAGGAAGAACAGAGAGAGAAAGAAACTGAGCAAGTGCACAGAAACAAGGGAGAGGGAAAACAGAAAAGGTGCATAGGAAAAAGATAGGAAAAGATAATGGAGCTAATACACATGAAGAGGGGAGAGAGAAAACAGAGAGGGTGCACGGGAAGAAGTGAGAGGGAAGACAGGGAAGGTGCACAGGAACGAGAGTCGAGAAAGCAGAACAGGTGCACAAGAAGAAGGAAAAGAGACATTATAAACACATGTAAATGCAGCTAAGCCCAACTAAACGTGGGAGAAAGTTTTAATATTTAATAGATAATTTCTCCTGTGTTTAACCTGAACGCAGGAGTGTGGGTAAGAATGTAGCCTAAGAAAACGGAACAAAAGAAGAGAGATAAAATCAAAGCAGGTGCATAGGAAGAGGGGAGAGAGAGCTGGAGAACAGAAAAAACAATCAGGTGTCAAAGATTAAAAGTGTAAAGGAAATTCTGGCTGGATAATATAAGAAATATAATAACATTCTCCATTTTATATTTCATTACACAGATGGTCAAATTATTGAATGCCAGCCCACAAAATGGCCACCAACAGTGTATGAAGGAAACAGGTGCTCATTGAGGACACATTTTTCATATCAGTCTGTGGTCATGTCATCCGCCACTTACCACTGCAGGTCTTCTTATCTTTGTTTAACATAAACCCTTCATAGCACTGGCACTCATATGACTCTTCAATGTTTGTACAGATTTGCTGACATCCGTGCCTGCTCTCAGCACAGTGGTCCACTTCTAGTAACAAACAGCAAAAAAATTCATGAGAACCGCTCCAAAACTGATAACCCTACAGCAGTGTAGAATTGTAGTCAAAATTGTAGTTTTATTTTGAAAAAAAAAATTAAATAGGTTAAAGAGAAACTCCACTTTAAAAAAAAAGTTAAAAAAATGTAAAAATGATATATACATATACTGTGTGTGTGTATATCTATCTATCTATCTATCTATCTATCTATCTATCTATCTATCTATCTATATAGGTATATATAGATACATATCTATATATCTATATATATCTATATATAGTGCATTCAGCAAGTATTCAGACCTCCTTCACTTTTAATAATGACAAAGTGAAAACACAATTTTAGAAATGTCTGCAAAATTAGGTGTCAGGCAGAACCGGAAGTGAGGAGAAATTCTACAAGGACACAGACAACAATAAAAAAACAAATTACCTTGGTGGCTTTCTACCAAATGAGGGTGACAACTGATATTATGTGGTCCTTACCGTCATAGCGTTACATAAGTATTATCACCACCATTAAACATTGACGTCATAAGTCAATCTGAGCTGGTGTGATTATGTTAGAGTTGCTTCTTAGGCCCAGCCTGGCAAAGGCTTATATTCAAATATTTGAAGACGACGACCTTTCCTTCCAAACAATGTAATGGGAAGTAAAGGACTCAGATAAATACCTGGTCACATTACATACTTATTACCTAATTGTGACTTTTGCCTAGAGTCCTCTTCTGCAGCATTTTCCTGGGTCACAGTCATAAAACAAATAGCTGCTGAGAGCCGAAGATAAAGTGGTTCTTTTTATTCTGACTAAATGATACTTTAATAATTCATGCATGAGCTCATCCTGCGTATAACAAGTTACAACAATCTCCCGGCTCTATTAATGAATAGCAATTTCCAAAAGCTGAATAAAGCAAAGCCATTAATTCAGGAAATGTCTGGGCTCTCTAACTGATTAGGTCCCAAGACAGCTCCATCTGAATGAGAGGGATCAAGCGGCAGATTCTGAAATCGTGCCTGGGCAGTCCAGGGTGTGCGTTCCCAACTCTCCAA